GAGCATGGGCATAAGCTATATAAATGCAATTATTATTATTGTTGTTATTATTATTGTTATTATTATTATTGCTATTATTATTATAAACATTAGTATTGTCTTCATTATCATATTAGTATTATCATCACCATCATCATTATTATCATCATTATTATTTGTTGAACGAAGCAATTGCAAGTCGATCAGACTGAGTCAAATTCAAAGAATGACTCTAGTCAGTTACTTTGAGCTCCACCTCACAGAAAGAATACATTAGGGTAATATGTTTGACGAATTATGTAAAGTATAGACCACGACAAATGTGAGGCAGCGTGGTGGAATCAGGCTCTCGTCAAAATAATCAAAGTGAAGAAACTTGCATTTTTCCGCAGGTTTGTGAATTTTTATCAAATTTTTGGTTTTTGGCTCAACACCTTTCATGCTCATTAAAGAACTCATTTCTGTGTGGATTTGTCTTAAAAACGTAGATTAAAAGTACAAAAAATGTAAATTTTCAGTTACCAGGGACTCTTAAGCTAAGGAAATAACTAATCTTTGGCGGTCATTTTCTCACTAATTTTACCTCTGAAAAAAGGTTACCCCACCTCCATCATTTGCAAATATCTCGACTTGTATTCAAGGTAAATGGATACTTTTTCATTGAAATAAAGACAAGTGAACAAGCTTTAATAAGATGATACCAATAACTCTACATGCCCAAAAATTGACGAGAGCCTGATTCCACCACGCTGCCTAACAAATGTAAAAAGATGGCAACTTGAAGAAAACGGGATTAGTTGTGTGCTGCTTTCTACGTACCGTTTACGCGAGTGAGAGCCAGCAGGGCGAGGAGCGCACCTGTAAGCAGTCCAGGTGATCGCGTCATGCCAGCCCACTCGAGTCACGTGACATGCAGGGCTCTGTGACGTCAGCACTTCCGGCACGACCTGGGGAGAACACGACGAGACCGTAAACGTTACTTTCATTGAGCGACCACCATGCAGCGTCAGAGAATGCTCTCCTTTTATCTATCCATCGCGACTTGCTCGACCTGCGAAAATCATTAACTTTCCCATCTCGACCAGAGAGCAGTATACTCTTTGTTATCTTGACAAGAGAACTAACAGTATCCACTTCCTCATCTCGACAAGAACAGGGTCAACTTTCTCAACTCGACCAGAGAACACTCCCCTCTCACCCATCTCGAACATAGAACAGTATTCACTTTCTCATCTCGATCATAGTACAAAATGCACTTTCTCATCTCGACTAGAGAACAACATTAACTTCCTCATTTCGACCAGAGAGACGGTGTCCACTTTTTTTTATCCCAACCAGCGGACACCATCCACTTTCTCATCTCGATCAGAGAACAATATATCTCAAAATCATCTCGACGAGAGAACTGTCAGAATCAACTTCCTCATCACTACCAGATAAAAGAATTCGTTTTATCATCTCGACCAAAGCACAAAACGCACATTTTCATCTCGACCAGAGAACAGTATCCACTTCCCCTTCTCGATTAGAGGCAATGTCCACTTTTTCATCTCGACAATAGAGCAATACCTTCGTTCTCATATCGACCAGAAAAAGGTACCAAGTTGCTCATCTCGACCAAGAACTTCAAGTCAAGACGACCAAATAATGATACTGAGGAATGACTCAGGTTTTGAGGACACGCACACACACAAACACACACACACACACACACACAC